TAAGGGACACTTTCAGCTTCCCAAACTCTGTGGTGTCAAGCTTCCTCATACTGAGTCACTGCCCATCTGATCCAATTTGCGGAGCGCATGACTCTGTCGAGGACGAAGAAGAGGTGGAGGACTCTTCGTCTGACTCCTTTGTCTTTGGGAGTTTAAAACATTTAGCGCACAACTTGCGATCTGTGGGACGTGTGTCCGTGAGATCGTAGTCGGCGTGGTGCCTGGCAAACGGCCAAGAACATGCAGCTCGCCACAAGTAGTGGGGCAGGCGTGGACCTGAGCGACCCACTTTGTGAACCTTCCCGTCCGGAGCAAGGTTTACGACGAACAAAGGGCATGCTGGCACAGGTACGTCAGGTACCAAAGTGTTTGCGGCTTCGCAATCAGCTAAGATTTCAATCTCTTGCGCGGTGAAGTCTGTTGTAGCCGTGCGATTTGCAGAATCCGGCACTTTGGCAAGAATGGCGCGAGTTCGGCTCTTGCAGCTGCCAGGGAGTCTGCGAAGTAGCCTCCCGTGCGAGGCCAAACAAGTGAGATAGCGGTGCTTCACGGACGTACCGAAAGAAGCAATCCGATCCCCATCGACCAAAGAGCTGTATACGCCACAGTTCAGTGAGCGTGTGTGCAAGGTGTATGGCACCTGTGGCTCTGGCCGAATGACTTCAAACCTCCTGAGGCCTGTGTCCGTGAGGATGGGAAGTTTGAGCTGTTTGCCCAAATGCTCAAACGTGTCGGCCTAGCCGGCTTTGGTCGATGTAGACCCGTCCGGTTGTGGTAGGAGGTGAAGAAAACTGTGGCGTTTGCACCATTCAACTTGGGCAGACATGCGGTGAAAGGGACATAGGCGGTCTTTGCTCTTTTCACTGCACGTGTACACGTGGGTTCTGACGGCTCCCAGAGCTTGCCAGTCTGCTTTGCTAGATGGAAGTTTCCAGTGTATCAGACCAGTGCTGTCATCTACCGTGACGTGGGACACATTGGCATAGCTTGCTTCGATTTCTCGAAGGAGCCACCACGATGCCAGCAGTGTTGCCCGGACAGGAAAAGCTGGGCCCCCCATGTGCAATAGCCGGCTCGGTGTGCTGCAGTGCTGCCAGTTTCTTCGTTGGCAGGGGTTGGGCTTGCTTGGCAGGCCCGCGGCCGCGCTGACAAGCTCGCTTGGCTTGTTTTGCTGCCAGGTTGACCTGCACTGATATGAGCTGGGCGGGCAGTTTCCAGATACTGTTCTGTCGAGCTATATCCCGCTTTGTCTAATGCCCCTGTCACTGTGAAGATGAGCTGAGGTGTGAGCACGGACGGTGTCGAGAATCCAGCTGCCGATGCTATTGCCGCCCAGGTTTTCTCATCAAATTGAATGGGCAAACGCGATGATTCAGCTTTTGGCTCGCTTTCCAATGTGTTCTGCGCACTCGTTTGGGTGCAGTGTTGCTTCGTGAAGAGCCAACTTCAGGGAGCCCCTGGAGTAAGGTTTTGGCTCCAGACGGTGGCTCTCCTCCTGCATGGTTGTGCCATGGCTTGGTGGTGCGTGGCAAACCACCGGGCCTTCGTCCAATGGCCGCAAACCTTTCGGTTGAGCCTGGGCTTCTGGCCTCTTTTGGATCGCACAGGAATCGTGAGGGACCCAAAGAGCGTTTCATGCTTGAGCCATCCCTATCACGTCCGCCACTAAGTTTCTTGAGCACGATCCGCTTTAGGAGCTGTTTGACCCGTTTTGTTTGTGTGTGTGTGTGGATTTGACCAAGCACACAAAGGACTCCCGCGCTTTTCTTTTCGAAGGGTTTGAGCGGTCTCGGGGAGAAGCCAAACTCAGGACCTACTTCAATGGGAACGCGTGTTGCGCCCTGAAGGTTCTCAAGAAAAGGTGGAGGATTGGGGTCATGTTGTCGACTGCGAGGGTCTGCAGTCTTGTTCAGCTTGGTGTTGATGTGTTGGAGTATGGTGAACTCGTATTTCTCGTTCGCTTGGTCCAGTGCTATCTCCCTGGCGACCATCGACAGTTCTGGGGAGCTGGCCTTGCCCTTTGCAATGATGTAGAGGGCGCCAATGTTGTCTGCCTTGACACGTACCACTGACCCAATCGGGTGTTTGGTGAGCCACGTCCGAGCGGCTAAAAGTAGGCACAATGCTTCCCAGAGTCATGTGTTTCGGGATGCCAGGGATTGCCCCAGTTCGGAGGATGAATTCCGGTGGGATAGGACACGAAGAGAATTCTTTGGGTTCACCTCGTTCCAGCACAACTGCACCCAATCCCCACGTGGAGGCATCCGTAAGGATGATCACTCCCGAGGCCGGACGGAACGCCCGAAGAGTGCGCGCCAGCGGAGTCTGTTTTCCCTCCAGCACGGCTCTGATCCATTCTAGGGCGTGCCTTATGCGGCGAGTGTGCACAACATTTCTGGTTCTAAGGTTAGAACCGTCATTCGTTGTGGCAAGCACTGCCCACAGGGCTCCCAGAAACGGACGCATGAGCGGCGTAATGCCTGCAACGAAGGATAGAGCTCCCGCTAGAGATTGTAGCTGTTTTCTTCCTACAACCGGTTTTGCCTTTAACAATTACACCCAGCTTGTTGAAGGTCGGTTCGATTCCTACCTTGCACGTTGCCTCCTCGAGCGAGTCCGAAAATGAACAGAATCCTTTGTCCAGCGCATCACGAACAAGTTGGTTAAGGTCTGATTCAAATTCGTTGACTGAAGGATGATTTTGCCAGCCTTCAAATTCTCTGGCCAGGAGTTTGGCTGCTTCAAGTTCCCACTTCATCGACTCCACCGGCGGGAATATGCCTGTGTTTGGAATAGGTTCCGAGAAACCCAGTGGTGCCCCGGTGTGTAACCAAGAGGCGAGAGTCACTGAGTCCGGATCCCCCGTGGCTTTTCCCCATGCCCAGAAAATCTCGGGTTGAAGTGGGGTACGTGCCGTGGCCGACCAAATGGGTAGACCCTCGATGTCGTTTCCAAACACTTCTAACTCCGAACTTCTCAAGTGGTTAATGAGACGTGAATCCAGTGGTTTTGCCGCTTCGCCGTTTAGGAGGTGGTCAACCTGACTGAGAACGGATTCGTGTGAAGAGGCCAGGTGAAGTAGTTCTCCTATAGCGTTTCCAAAATGTAGTGATTCTGGTATCTTAGCGGCTGATGTAGCTGGGTTTCGCATTCCTCCTATTGCTGCCTCGTCTTCGATATCTCTGAGCTTCTGAGCTCTATCCAGCAATTGCGGCCCGTAAAAATTGCCGTGCCCTCAGCTTCGTGAGGGTGCATGCTCTCCTTTCAGAGCAGTGAGCATAGCCGTTGCTCTGGACATGCTGACACTCACTGTGGCTTGGGCCAATGCGTAGTTCAGCTGTGGAGGATACTCTGCCAGCGCTTTGCTGGCTCTCTCCTTCTTCCCCTCGTCGTTTGTTCTCCATCTCTGCACCAAGGATTCGTGTGGTGCTTTGTAGGTGGAGCCGTCCGTTCTCGTCCACTGTTGAACTGGGTGGTTGCATCTGAGGTCTCCGATGCCCCAAAAGTTCATGTGGAACGACATCAGCTTCGTGGGCTTCCGAACTTCTGCTCCAAACCTACATTGGTCAAATTCGGTGATCCACACGTTGAACTCTCTGACGAGGAACTTCAGGGGAGTGGTCTTCCATAGGTCCAGCTTGTCTTTGTGATCTGGGTTCTCGATCCAGAAGGCCCTGCCCGCTGTAGCTTGGATTTCCGCAAGCCTTGCTGATAGCGCGATGAGGCGGTTTGCCTCCTTGAGCTGAATCCTTTCACTTTCGGTCAGCTCTTCGCTTGGCAGCCCATCTGGCTTATCCAAAGATCGCAGAGGTCTTGGGCCTGGAGGTGATTCCCTGAGCGGTGATAGTGTTTCACACGGGGTTGCACATCCCACCACGTCGTACATGCCGGTTTCCGTGTCGGCTAGGATCTTGTCGAGGTAGTGCTCTGACAGCACATCGGTGGGCTCTGGCGCCACCTTGTCGACGATGACCACGATCCATCCTTCTGCTCCGAGGTAGCTAGCCAAGTCCCCGGGTCTGCTCTTGCCGCTGAATACCAACAGGCATCTCGGTTGGTCAGCCCACAGTTCCGGTTCCAGGTTTGTACAGCCGTACCTGTACTTGTGCCACCTCGTCACTTTGGGAAGGTCTCCCATGGAGGAGATGTTCTTTGCAGTGATCCACAGGGGAAAGTCGCTGATCCTTCTCTTGATGGGTGTTTTCGACCGGCTCCTGCGACGGGATTTTCTCCTGCTTCTCGACCTGCGGGTCTCACGATCGGGTTGGCTCCCGCTAGGGTGTGAATCACTGCCACGCCTTGGCGGGGGGCCAATTGGCGACGCTGGCCTCCTTTTGGATTTGTCTCCCTCTGGCTTGGGCGTAGGCGGAGGAGCTGGCTTTGATTTGGCCGATGTCCCTGGTGTGGCCGGGTCTGTCCCGGGAGCCGTAGTCAGCGTGGTGTTTCCACCTTCTCAGCTCTTCTGTCGCTTGCCTCCTGTGCACTTCGTGGCCATATGCGGGCCAAGACAAAGGTTGCACTGATGGCTGCGATTGTTCGGGCATCGGGATTGTGCTTTGCCATTGCCGCATTGATCGCGGTTGAACTTCTGACAGATCTGTACCCCCCCTCCGGTTGAGAGAGAAGGCGCCAGCTTGCCCGTCCCAGTACGAAAGGTCTTCACCGGCGTACTTCCTCTTCTTCTTCTTCGGAGGTTGATCTGGTCCGACTTTCTTGCCTCCTCGGTCTGAATCGGATGAATCCCCGTCCTGTCTGGCTGGCAGGGATTTGTTCCGGGCTAGCAGTAGGGTTGCTGGTGTCACGACTTCTTTGGTCCAAAAGTCTCCTTCTTTGACAGCCTGTGCAAACACTGCTGACCAAGGGCTTGCACGGGTGTAGCCATGGTTCGGGTTCTCATCCAAGGCTCGGCGTATCCTGTCCTGAAACTCGGATCTCATACGCACGTCAGCCCTATAGATGATCCCCCAACATTCATGGCCAAACTGCCCATGAAGCTCTTTGATGTGATCTGCATACGCGTCCAAACGCTCTGAATCGGCTGCCTCCAGGAGAAGCAAGGCCGTCTTGAATGTGCGAAAGGACTTCTCCCAGTTGAAAATCGAGTCAGGCCCTGGGGCTTCGCGCTTGGACCACTCTCCTGTGGCAACATTCAGCACGTAGGAGGTGAACACTGCTTTTCTCAGTTGTCGGAGTCCGTGTGGTCCAAACACACTGAAATCGCAATACGGCAGCGCGCCACATCGCAACATTTGATTGATACCCGACAGTTGGTCTGCCGAAGGTTCCACTTCTTGGCTTGGATGGTCCCCGAACTTTGCCTTGTATGTACTATACATGCGTGCCACTTCTGACTGCTCTAGCTGAAGAATCTCAGCATCCAGCGTTGGGTCGATCACGCTGCTCAGTTTCAGCTTCCTCGTGGGAGAGGTTGGTGTTGAAGTACTTGGCAAAGGTGAGACTCCGATGGACCCTACTGGCGGTGCGGTTGACGATCCAACGTGATCTGGATTTGCACCAAGCCGAAGTAAAGTCACCCTTCGGAATATCTCGATTCGAGAAGCCTCAACTGGGGTGAGGTCTCTTTCACTGGTGGTTGTGCCCGATGAAGTATCGATCTTTAACCCTGCCACCACGTTGTCCCAGACCGTCCGGTTGATGAAGGCAATGTCCCGCAGTTTTGAGGGCTTGCCCAGAGCATCCATCAAATGTTCGTGGACTTCTCCAGTTGTGCCGGCCCAGTCTGCAACATGCTGAAGGGTGGCCATATTATTGAGCTCTGCGTCGGTGGGGTCCATGGCTGATCACAGGACCTTCTCTCAACGGGGTGAGCTCCTGGTCGAATTGGATCTGCCTCCTGGCAGATGCTTTTGGGCTTGCCACCGCAAGCCTTGCCCTTCGTAGGGTTGTAGGTGTGCCCTGCTCGGTGTTCCGCAAAGAGTAGTTGCGGTAGTTGGAGAAGGCAAGGCCTATGAGGCGGCGACGAGACACAAACCTTATGGCCTTCCTGGTGAGGATGGCCCAAGGTGTGTCACCCACTTGGAAGCGAGCTAGTGGGTTGACCACTTTCCACACGGCCCAGATGGAGTGGGCTTTCCACCCGATCCAAACACCCACCACCAGGACGCTCACGAGCACCCCGATGATGAGTGACCAGATGCCCAGATGGTTTCCCACCTGAGGGCCTGGCACCAGATCGAAGGTGGCCTCTCCCCACCTAACCAAATGGGCCATAAACGGAAAGGATCAAACCCCACAGGCTCTTGAGCCAAAATGGCCCAAACGAGCTGCGGATGGTAAGTCCCTCCCACAACTCCCCTTCTGATTATGTCTATTGTTACTTTCACAATTTCTTTGTTACACACCCCAAGTTCTAAGTTCCGACAGCGAGGAACTTGAAGGTTCCGACAGCGAGTCCAAAAACGGTAGAACTTGACCGACTGAAGTAAAGTAAAGGAACTTCCTGAACTTGGGTCACCTAGTCAGACCATTCTTTGTATAGTCTTTGACTCCCAGGGGTTCCTTTTTGGGGTTCAGTTGCTAAGGTTGAGAAATCGAAGTCCCTTCAGCACTGCGAGTCTGTCCAAGCCACCAAAGTCTCTCACGTAGGGTATGACAAAGTACATCTGATACAGAGCTTCCCCGATCGCCGGTCCCGTCCAAGTTCCGCTGCACGAGCTGGCAATTTGGCTCCTCGGTCGGCGTATGAAGCAGCCCATCTTCCGCCCAACAAACCCGGATAGATATCCAGTCACAACTCTCACACTCGAACTCAACCAATTCCACGGACCGTTGGAATAAACCATCATGCCTGCCTCAGGTTCAATCTCACAATCTCCCGATTCTCCAACAACGCCTGTGCCGAACCACCAATACTCCATCGGCGTGGTGTCCCTCGTTGGGCCCCGAGCGACGAACACGCTAGCGCGGCGCGGTCGCGTGGCGGCCAGGCGTCACTTCCTGTCTTTGAGCAGCCTGAGGCGAGAACGAGCACAGAGGCGGGGGTTCCTCCCGCCAAAGGAGAGGAACCGTTTGGGAACAGAAGCTCTCTTCCAGTTCGGACATGACCTGAAAGTAAGAAAGGTTAGATAATGTCAATAATGCAACGTCATCTTTTTTACATAACATGCATCATCGTGCATGATCAACGAGGGTCGTTCTTGCATCACTAGATCATCACAAGGGATTCATCCATTCACAATCCATGTGTGATCTGGTACCATCCATTTCAAAGATCCCGTGAATGTCTGGCATACATCGTCAGGCTTCTGCTCTGCGAAAAACGGATCAGGTCAGTGGTTCGAGCTTTGCAGAAGAAGAATTGAAGAATAGCAACAAAAGGAACTAAGAATTCAGGAACCCATTGCATCCAAGGATCCACTTCATCACCAGACCCTTCAAAAAGTAGCAGGGCAACGCTTTCTTGGCCACTTCGAGGCCTGCGTCGACGGATGATCTGGGGCGAAGCATGTCGGAACGGGCTGGGAAAGAAAAGGGAACAGGATGGAACAAGCTTTATTCTAGCATCTGGGTGTGTATTCCGCGTATTCCAATAGACCATGGTTCTAGAATGTTCTAGACTAGTTTTGGTTTGGAGTTTTGTCCATACTTGCTTCTCCCGAATATACAGGTCCATCCTTTGACCCTGACATTTCGGCGCAGGTGACTCCCTGCATTGCGGATGCTGCTTCGTCTTGTTCTTCATGTCTTCTCCCTCCACCCGACTTGGGCAGCAAACATTCTCCACCGCGAGCGGTGCAGGTCCTGAAGAAAGAAATCGCTGCCATCCTTTGTTGGAGAAAAGCAAAGAACGCTGCAATAATCAGATCTCCTCTCGAAGCGCTTCAGCCAATTTGAACTCGCCATTGTCTAGCAGGCCTCAGGACTTTGATAGTGGCTCGGAGTCAGAAATCTTCTGCTCAGCAAAGTTGCACTAAACAAAACTCATCGAACAAACAGAAAGAAGAATCCCGGTTGGAATACAACGATGTACTCCGTTGCCACCAGCAAATGTTATTCTGGACTCTGAAGCTTACTGGGATGGGAGAAAATGTTGCAGATGCTGGCTCTGGCCACCAAGAAACGGAAGCAGGCAGGCTTCAGGGCACGTGGCAGCTGTGATACCTGGCGCATGAAGGACACCTGAGCGGCTCGCAGCCCTGGAGCCAAGTCCGTGTCATTTGGATTCGTGTCTACTGCAACACCCCTGCACTTGACCAGCGCACTTAGCGCCTTATAGGAAGAAGATGAAAAAAGCAATCGGCCAGTTGGTGAAGTCTTGCATTTCGTCTCCAAAAACATGGTCTTGCCAGGCACACACCCACCACCTCCCATTCTACTCACTCAAACACAGCAAGTAAACTTGCACTAAAAGAAATGCACCCAAAAATCATTGCGTCAAACATGGATCGAACATGGTTTGTCCGATTTCTCCGTCTATCAGTCCATCAGCCTAGTCTAGTCGTTGATGTGATGACTGTCCTTGTCTTGCCCAGCTGAGCGCTCTTGGCAGCTTTTTCATGTTTGGTTCCAGAAGAGTGACGATACTTTTCAACATGGCCACCGGCAGAGCTTCTTCTCTCCAAACCTCCCAAAACCTCCCAAAACCTTCCAAACCGACCACCGAACAACCAAGTTGGGCTCAGACCTTCCGCGCGCAGACCGAACAACCATGTGTGTTTCGGGTTTTTCTTGCTCCTGAGCGCGGCACTCCAAGATCCCAACTGGTGAACTCCAGAGATTCATACTCCAGCACCTCCGGGAGGGGATGGATCCGCACCACCGCGGCCTCGGAGTTCTCTCGGCATAGCGCGGCATTTTCCGCACCCGACACCCGGTGCGTGATGAGAAAGGGCTGATGAGAAAGGGGAGGGTGTATCGTCTAATGGAGGTTAATAGCGAGGTCTCCAGCCCCGGTTTCGGGGATTGTTTAGGATCTACACTCCCGAGTCAACTAACATAGACCCTGACAATGGTAACCTGGAAGATTGTTTTCCATTGTTTTCCTCTACCAACCAGTGGTGTACTCAGGGTCCATGTGCTCGCCTTCCAGGATCTATTTGCGGCCCAGGTCTCACCCCCGTCGCTAGAGTCGCCCCGGGTCGCGAGATCCGACTCGACTCGCTCGTCCAGACGACGCGGAGGGTCGAGGCCCGACCGGCGACTCGCTGCCCGAGGGACGGTGATGACTCCAAGGCAACCTTCGCTTCCCAGCAGCAAGCCTAGTCACTGAGCAAGCTTCCGTGGGGGGAAGAAGAACATGAACACCGGAGGAAGTGCGAAAACGGACTCGGAGGGTCGAGGTCTGCCCGGCTCGAGCCTCGAGCTGGGCTTTTGGTCGACCGGACCCCTCCCTCGTTCAATGGGCCGGGCTCCAAATCCCTTCCTGGCATGAACGAATCTAAAAAAACGAGGACTGTGCAGCAGAGAGGATGCTCAGCACACACCCACCAGCAGCATGCCACGTCCTCTGCGCTCATAAGCCGCCCGAATCCCCCAGCCGTTCCACCATGTTCCACCTGGCAATTCTAAGCCGGTGGATCGGCGCCCAGTCGAGGAAGCATGCCTGGCCAGCATGCGCCAGGCATAATTCACAGGACCACCGGGTCCCACTTGGGATTTGTTGCCAGAATGTAGATGCAAGAATGTGCGTTATGTAAAAAAGTCGAATTGTCTTGCGGGGTCGAAACCAAGTGGAGCAAAATGTTCAGGGACGAAAACAGGACATCGGTGTGTATGAGAACCCCAAAGGCCACTTCGGAAGGGCAAACTAAACGCCCACAGGCCTAAGAGGTCTCGCGACGGAAAGACAAAACCTTTACGAAAGACTCACACACACAACTGTAAAATGTCTCAAAAACTCGTGGTTCTCTAAAGCGGACGGTACCTGTGTACATTGGTCCGACGGTGTCCGATCCGTTGGGGCACACGGGCACCGAAGAAGAACTGCCTGCGAAACGGCTTTGGGAAACACATGTCGCCGGTGCAAAGGGTGAGTCAGTCATTTATGAAATGGAATGAATGCTTCAACTGGGAAACGATGGGAAACGGCTTTGGTTTATTGTTCCTCTTGCAGGGGATAATTACACACATGTCTTGCTTCCACGAACGAAGCATGAAGCTTGCGGTGTGGTGTGGCCTGTCTTTCATTCCTCGCTGCCACACAAGGCCTGAGGAGGTCGCCACCCGTACCTCGTGCAAGCACCACATGGCAGGGCACAAGCGCTTCGCAAAGCCCAAATTGATTGTACATGGCTTGGAAATGCTTGCTATGGATAGAAAACAGGATTTGCAAAGCCATGAGCAAAGGATCCCCCTGAGGTCATACTGCTACTAATGCTTACAGTATAACGTTGCATCCCGTCCTCGACCAGCATCTCATCAATGTTTCCTCAAGAGACACCACGGGCAAGTCGCCAATGTTGGCGATTCAAGTCGAGTCGTGTCCCCAAACCGGTCGTGTCCCCAAACAGGTGGCACCGCAAAAGAGTCTCACAGAATCTGCGTCGCGTCAGGACCAATGACCCAAACCGGGGCCAACTTCTTTCGACCACTCGGCGCAGCGAGGTCCGAGTCGGATAGCGATGCTCTTTTCCAGACAAAGCCAGGTCCCGAAGCCACCCGACCCACCGTGCCCACGTGCATCTCAGCCACCATAGCGGGAGTGCTTCATGTTCTTGGTCTTCGTCGCAATCCAGCCACCCAAGGTAGAGAATTCCATGGATTCAGGCTCCATACCCATTGTGTAGCCCTCTCCTTGAAGCGACACGAGCCCAAAACACAATCATCCCCCACTTGTCCAGAACTGTCTCTGCCCAAGAACCCCTAAAGGAACCAAGATAAAGATTTCAGACAAACCATCGCTATTGGGTTGGAGGCCATCGCTAGGTAGGGGGATCGCGAGCCCTTGCTGAAGGTCCTTCAAAACTGGTCTGCGACCAGAACCCCGTGACCGTCGAAGCCACGAAGGACCCCCCCCCGACTCGGACCCCGTTGTTCGTGATCGTCTGACGGCTCATCAGTAGGAATGAAAGAAAGCGAGAAGGGCCACGGAGTTCAGAAGCCGTCGCCAAACCCAAGCTACCTTTGAAAAATCTGTGCCGAGCTTCTTTTCAAGGCCTCCTTTAAAGAGCTTCCTGTAATTCCAGCTTCAACGCATGCCAGCCGATCCTCCTCTCGGACCCACAAGAGCTTATCCATGCTGCGCAAATCCAGCGACACCACTGGTCTTGGGTCTTCACTGATGCTTGGGCAAGTAGTGGCAGAAGTGATGCCTGAGCGAGTGCAAAAGTTGGCCACTGATTCACTGCTTCACGGAAAGACGATGCGTTGTTTTTGCCGCAAAAACGCTGCTCACCTCCGCTTCGGAAAAATCTCGGCTGTGGTGAGCCAAAACCTCCCGCACTAGACCGGGTGTGGTTGACATCCCTTAAGCAGCGGCAATGTGTTCATGTTCCATGTGGTGGGGCAGGTCAACCAGCCCCCTGACTCGACCACTGTCCTTTGAAACAAAAAGACTTTGTTGACTCTTCTAAGCCCTGCCTGTCCGACCACCCACGGGAATTACAATGAAATGTCCGGCTGCTTGCTGCAGCACTGTAAGGACCTGAGCAGCCCGTTCAAAGAAATCGACCAAATGCAGGACACCTTCAGTCAGTCAGTAGCGGTTCCAACGTTGAAAAGGTGCTTCAACTCAAATTGGATGGAAAAGAAACTGCCGGGAACGCAAAAGCTCGACATAAAAGCTTGGATCCTGGCATCGTCTTCATGGCGTGGTTTCACCACCAGATCAGGCATTCGGAGGAAGGAACAGCCATTCCGAAGGCTCCAAAGCCCACCCAAGCCTCTGCCAGTTCCACTTCGCAATCTCTCTTTCGAATCCAAACTGATGTTGGGGAGCCTGGTCAACAACGCCACAGCATCTGGATCAGCTTCCACAAGCTCCACCTGGTCCACCGTGGAAGACACCGCGTGGCCCTTGAGGCCACCGTGCATTTGGCCAAAAAAAGACCAAAGTCCATTCACCATGCCGCCCGCCGCAATGGCCTTGGGATATCGCTCTGAGGTCAGGTAGACCTCACGATGGCCCGCAAAAAGGTCTGCTTCGAAGCGGGTGTCCTCGAAGCCCCACCTGTCCAAGGCCTCATCGCACGACTCTCTCGGGACACCACGGTGTAGGCGGGCACCGGAAGAGGACTCAGAAGGCGGGAAGAAGGACGATGAGATTTGCTGCAGCCTTCAAGGCACCAAAACGACCAAGAAACGACCGATCTCTTAGGCACGAACTTCTTGCGATGTGAGCCGCCTACACCGCCTAAACCGTCTCCAACACAAAAACAGTTCTCGCATGGCAGCTTCGATTTGCGCGTGTGATTCATCGAATTGCACAGCCCAGTCCTTTCAGGCAAGGCAGACATCGTTAAGAAAGCATTGGTCATCCAGGCCTTCATAGAGGTCGTCACAAGATGTCACAAGTCCAAGACTTGATGAAGAACTGCAAACATGGGCAGTTCTACGCATCCAAATATCAGCCTCCATACATATATAGAGAGAGAGAGAGACCCCAGCAACTTTTAGCTAAGCTACAAGCATGAACCAAATATATACACTACATAACTTACATAGTATATATGCATGTGGAGCTGCGTCATGTTGCGTCAGTGTTTCCAAGGAAAAAGTTTAAAACAAATGCACACCTGTCCCAACATCAAGACTTCGAAGGGCTAAGAATTCGATCTGACTCCACGTCGTCGCTATCAAATAGAAAGAGTCACAACGTGCAACTACAACACGCTTGAAATACAGTATATACAATAAATTACTTTTCATGTGATGGATTGGGCTTGATTCGGCTTGATTGTTGGTGAAATGCTTGGCTTGTGCAAAAGATTGGTGCGGCTCTCCTCCTTAAAATGGAAGTGGGCATGGCCCCTGAGAAGACTGCCTTCCTCTACAAATACATAGAGTAGGAGGTGTTCTGCTTCCCTGGTGAGTCATTCAGGTGCCTTCTGCAACAGTCAGCTCACAATCCTCCCACCTGCGAAGAACTGGGCTGCGCCGGGCTCAGAGGCGCTGCGCCCGATGCATCTGCCGCAGCCAAGGGTGTGCCTTCGATGCTTCAAGGTGCATGAAAAAATAAGAGCTTTTCACAAGAGTAGCCACAAAAGCTGTCGCAAAAAGGTGTCAAGCACCAAAAGGGAGCTTGTAAAGGGGACCAAGCTGCTCTCACTTTTGCTTGTAACCTTCTGCCGCCAGCCCGGAACAAACTCATCTGCCAGCTTGCAGTATTCTCGCATCGCATCTTGTTTGCTCATGTCTTGAAGCGTAGACCAAGCATCCCATTTGGCCCTGGCAACCTGATCAAAAACACCAGGTCTGGAGCCCTTCACTGGGCCTTCCTTAGCTTGCTTGTAGTGCGCGTACAAACGCAACTTGTTCCTGTTGTCCAGGAAAGAAAGGGTCTTCACAGCAGCCTGCGCGGCTGCAAAAAGGGCCTCA